GTACACACTTAGCTCAGCCTTACATCCTTACACAACTAACACAAGTATTATCTAAATATGAACTACATACTGTTCTATTACATATTACCTCTGGAATCTGGTTTATTTCTAACCACTACATGGGTTAAGTATTGATCTCGTCACACAAGTATTGATCAATACTAATACCAACGTCAGCATCGATACTATCGATACTTTAGATCGATCTGCCCACCACTACTGAATGGGAAAAAAACGTTCAACAGCAATGGCGGACTAGCACATGTGAGAGAAGCATTCAACAAGGCTCAAAAAGAAAGAAGAGAGACTAAAAGTAACTTTAAAAATACCTAAGTTAACTGCAAAGCAGCCGGTGTGAGTCCTGCTTCTCAGGTAATGTTTCTCTGTTACTTTACTCTGTGGAGGTTAATGCTAATGTTAATATTAGCACAGTTCCTCCAGTGAGTGCAATTAATGTTAGCCAAGAAGAGGGCAAGCAACCCTGGAGAAGACCAAACACTGGTACAATGAGTGCTGGTGTGTCCCCATGGAGAATTTAATCTGAACCTGAAGTTTTTAATCCGGGGAACACATCTTGACATAGACAGCTCCACCAAACCAGGGACAAACCTGCGAGTGCCTCAGCGGATATGGAGACTTGATGCTGACCTGGTTGCCTCGGTAAGTCTGACTTTAATTTTAATGCTTGTTGTCCTGGCATTAATATGTTTATAGGCTATAACGCTACAGCATTTACTGCAATGGTCTGTTGTGTTGATAGTATAAACTTATTTCATCTAGCTCATAAAATCACAAAAAGTTTATTAAAATCTGTGCTTTTACAGTGTATATAGTGCAGTTTGCACTCATAATACAGGTAAGTAATATTCAGAAGAACATGGGAATCTTTTAAAATTTCTATTCCACCAGTCCTTTGTTCCTTTTTGTTTGAGAAAGGCAACTTTTTGTTTTTACTATGAATCATTTAACACATTTGCATAGTTTTGCATATCCTTAGTTCACCAGATTTTAGAGATGATTTAAAAAGAAGAGACCATATAAGTCATCATGGTTTGCTGCGTTTGTCTTCCCAACAGTGATAAAATTATTTTACAGCCCAACAACACCTCCTGCAGTTACTGATCTGTGAGATACTCTGATGTGGTATCTAATCACTTAGCTGAGTTGTCTGTGCAGCTAACAAGGCAGGCAGCACATTCCTCATTTTGAAAGCCTACATGCTGCTCTCTGTGTTTCTGTACAGAGTGCAAAAGGACCAAAAAGTTGGAAGCAGAAGATGGCATTAATATTAGAATGTTTTGCAACTGAAAATAAAGGAACACAGAACATCTGATTATTTTCATCCACCACAATCCTGCAGAACAAATTCTACCTGTCAACACAGACCATCAAGGAAGCTTTTACATTATTTGTCTTTCACTCCCTCTAAACTGCTTCTTCCTGAATACCAGATGTCATTCTCCTCCCGTTCCTGGTCAAGATCACATAAAAAAAAAAAAGAGTAAGCTGTGTCAAATAACATAGACTCAATCTCATGATGGAGTGAATGCCGCATTCAAGGTGTCTGTCGCTTTTCGGTGTCCAAGTAAAATCTAGCGTTATCAGAGGGTTATATAATTCAAGTCTGTCTCTGTAACATGCTGTGCAAACAGTACAGAGACTGCAGCTGTGGATGCAAAGGCTATTTTAGTCTGTGGACACTTTCTTTCCTGCCTCCTGACTGATCTCCTCTTCATCCTCATTCTCATGAGCAAAACGGCTGCTTGGAGTGGCCAGGAAGCGCTCATTACAGCTGCAATTGTCCAGAAAAAGAACATTAATATTAAGTATTCATTCCACCACCTAACATCTCAATGGCCTGTTGTCTGTGGAAATGTGTTGAAACAGACTGTTTTTCTACTAGAGTGCAAGCAACTGGCTTTCTATTTTCTGCTGTGCCAGAGTCATGGTCAATTGAACTTTAAATGATCAATTTGGAAGCGAAGAGCCTGTGATCAATGCCCTAATGGTGGAAATACCAATGTTCTGTCTGTGATGTAAGAGTGCTGAAGCTGTCTGACAGCCAGCCTTTAAGGCCTGCGTCTCTCCTCTCCCTGAAAAAAACAAAAAAAACAAGCCTCATCAATGTGTGTCAGTGTGTCTGTATGTGTGTGTATAGAAGAAGTTGGCACACCGCATGAAGATTTCAGATTTTTATGGTGAGAACATGCTGTGAAAAAGGAGCAAGGCAAGAACGTGTGCATGTACACATGCATACCAAAGAGAGTCCATCGGCGACAAATTTACATCGCTGGATGCTGCATCTTTTTATTGAACATATTTCCTGTGAGAAATTGCCTTGATTATGTCTGTATATCGCAGCTTAGTCAGTCAGAAAGAAAGAAAATACACTGCAGACTATTTTCTAGTTTGTGCTCTGATATTCTTATGAAGCCAAACACCATAGACTAACTACAAGATTTCACTGACCAACACGGTGCTAGATCACAAACATGACACAGAGGACCCTTTGTCATTGTGAAAATATAATAAACTTGGCCTTCATGAAGCATGTTATTTCTATTATTCCACAAATTCTTTGCAAATTTTAAGAAACATCTTCACTGCTTTGAGAACATTCAAAGCACTTGCTAATGAATAAATAAATACATCTCACAACTGCAGTGCCAAAAAGAGCCATAATAAAAAAAAAAGCTAATTCAAAATCTTAATGCTGCCAGGGCAAATACATCCATCATAAATATTAAGAGACCGTTCAGCAGTCCAACAAAGCGCTATGAAGGCAGGAGGTTTTGACAGAGTGACAGCAGAAGCGAAACAGAGGGAGCTGGAGGGAGGAGAGTAAAGCACAACGAATCAACCAGCAGTCAGTTAGTGCACTGCTGTTTTAGTCCCTGCCTTCTCCTCACCACAGCACCACCTGGCTGCTGTAGTCCTCTGTAGTGGCAACGTCCTCTAGCACCTTCACCACCTCCTTCTCGTCCTCTTCTCCTAGCCTCCACAGCTCAGTCAGATAGGTCCTGTGCATCTGCTGCCTCTCCTGTCTCCTCCTCAGCCGCGCCTCCTGGTGCTGCTTCTGGCGGCTGTACTGGTAGCGCCGAAGAAACAGCTCCTTGGCGTACTCATACAGCTCCATGTCGAGGGCGTTCAGCACCTCAATGCGCCACCGCACCTTCTCTGTGAGCTCCACACTGGCTGCACGCGTGCTGTTGATCTGCGTGAAGGCCCGAATGAAGTGTAGACCGAACGTCCGCTCGAACAGGTACTGTGTCTTGCGCTGAAACTCCGTCAGGCCGTAGAAAGCCATGTTGCGCAGATTGGCCTTGGCGCTGGCGAGCAGCAGGCGGCCTCGCTCCAGCTCGCTCATGAAGGACATGTTGTAGCAGCCCACCAGGCTGAGGTCAGCCAGCATGCGGACCTGGCGGTTGTTGGCGAGGTTCGAAGGGCAGCTCATGAAGTCTGCCAGGGGCACGCCTGTCCAGTCTTCACCACTGTAGCAAGCAGGGAGCTCGTCCTGAGTGGGCGGACGGCCATCACACATATGGAGGGCTGTTTTCCAAGTGGCCCCACGCTGTACGTGCTTCCATTCACTGAGGTAGCGTGACACAGGGTCTCGTAGCATGGTGATGTAATAGAAATTCCTGCAGAGATAAAGACATGCATAAGATGGGGTGTCTGACATGCAGGTTAGCTCACAGATATTGTTGTGCTGTGTGTGACTTTCTATGAATGAAAGGGGGGCATCTTTCCTAGAGTTAGATGAAAAGATATACTACTCTCATGTCTGTACATGCAGGGGCATATCAAGCTTTTTAATAGTGTGGGGGATGAGGTTTGTCTGGGGTGGGGGTATCTGAGCAAGACTGAAGCTGAAGGCAACTAAATATGTTTTACACACCTGTCTCATTTATGATATATAGTGTTTACCTACCTCTAAATAGAGTTTATGCACCAAATTCAACCAGGATATTCAATATTCTGCTTGCTATCATTATCTTAGTGTTTCTGAATTACACTGCATTATCTACATTTTATGCCCAACCCTGTCAGGTTTTCTCAGCTGCACCTGCCTCTCTCACCTCCCTCTACTTGTTTTCAGTTTCTGATCACGTCACTTTCCACACATTCCTCAATCAACACCAGCTGCACTCAATTAGCCGTTCACCTGACCCTATTTATACCCTTCTCACATGACTCTCCTTGCCAGTTCATTTTAGTTCTTGGGCCCACTACCAGTGCCACATGTCTTTTTGGATCACTCTGCCTTTGTATGCCATCTACCCTTGCCTTTCTCCCCATTCTTCCTACCCTGTTTCCCTTTTCATTTACTCCACGGATTGCCTCCTCCAAGCCTCTTCCAGTGACCCTAGCGTTCCGCAGCTAGACCTCTTTCCTTTTTTCCCCCCAGAGACTAACCCCTTACTGATCGACACCCGGTTTGTATCATATATTCATGCTCCGTTTCTGTTTTTGTTAACGTCAGCCTGTACAGCACTATTAAACTGCTTGTACCGAAGTCAGCTCTCTGGGTCCATTCTTTTTCGCTCACTCACCCTCCCATGTCTGAGCGTTCATAACAAACCCTGATCAACACTGTAAGGGCCATTTCTGCCACTCACTCATATTGTTACAATTTACCCACCTCTTTTTTTCAGCACACCCCTGATTCTTAAGTTGAAGAAATAAATTCTCTGCATTAAGTTTTTCTGAAGAAAAAGAAGGCCAGCTACAAATTGAAACTCTTGTGTAATATGATTTGAAATAATTTTATTTAAATAATAAACTGATGAAGTTTACTGCTTAAAGCAATGTTTACAATTGGTTACAGTTGCACAAAAAATGTTGGATATTGCTAACATGGCATGAAAACCAACTGGCCTGAACATTTAACATTATGAACATTTGAACCTTTACTCAGTTCAATTGAAAGAACCAAAAGTGCTCTTTCTGTTTTCCTTACAAGAGACAAACTGATTATCAATCATTTTTCTGTTGACCCTATCCAGCTTGTCTTTATGTACATGGTACACAGCAACACTTTTGAGGTGGGTTTGGGTCATGGTGCTGCGTAGCCATGTTTTCAGCCTCCAGAGGCTGAAACTCCTCTCTGACTCTGACGATGACACAAGCACAACTAGGAGGAGACGAGCAACTGTTTCAACTTGCTTAAAAAATATCCTACTTGCGCTAGCATCATACAGCTCCCTATCTAACTTTGTTAACAACATCATAGCTGAGGTGGTCAGCAGGGTACATGATGGATATTAAGTATTTATCAGCAGATATTGTGACAGCACGTTTGGCTTCACTAATTTACTGTGATGCAGTGTTCACATTTGCATGTGTTGTCTCTTGTGTGTGTTCGGGGGGTTCATACTTTTTCGCGGACGTCATTTTATACATTGACTATTTCGTTTCATTACGTCTCGTCAAAAAGTGTGGGGGATGAAATGTATTTTTAGAAAAAGTGTGGGTGTTATTGGGTTCAGTGTCTTGCCCAAGGACACTTCAACACGTGGACTGCAGGCACTGAGATTCAAACCTTCAACCTTCCGGTTGGGAGACAACTGCTCTACCCACCAAACCACTGTCGCCTCCCCAATATTACTGTATATCTTGATTGTAGAAGAATTAAAGAGTAAAAAATGAAGAAAAAACATGTAAATTCCTGATCAGGCACCAAGATGAGACTCCAGGAAGTAAATGGACTGTATTTTATATAGCGCTTTTCTCACAGTGTGTTGCACTGGCCAAAGCGCTTTACAGAGGATCATACACCATTCACCCATTCACACACCGATGATGACAGGCTGCCACGCAACGGTGCTAGTCAAACAACTGGGAGCAATTCGGGGTTCAGTGTCTTGCTCAGGGACACTTAGGCATGCAGGGGAGACTGGGAGTTGAACCACCAACTTGCTGGTCAGGAGACGACTGCCCTACCTCTGAGCCACAGCCATCCCCCAGGAAGTAACAGTGCCAAACCAAGAAACAGTCCCATACATAAACACCTGTGGAATGATGGTTACATACAGTAACCCAAGCTTCCATGGGTATAGGTGTAGCCCTCTAAGAGCTGTCGCTATTGGGTTTATCTGTCGCGCGGGGGGGCACAGACGGCCTGTGGGGATATGAAAAGAGCATACCTGTTCGGCTCACAATAGTGATGGCCATGGAGGCATAGGCGCACTGGGGGCGCATGGAGTGTGTGTGTGAGTGCGGTGGGGCACACACTACGCCAGCGCACAGCGATCAGACCGCTGGTGGCGTACTCACATGGTGTCACGGGGAGATCTAAGAGCTGTCGCTATTGGGTTTATCTGTCGCGCGGGGGGGCACAGACGGCCTGTGGGGATATGAAAAGAGCATACCTGTTCGGCTCACAATAGTGATGGCCATGGAGGCATAGGCGCACTGGGGGCGCATGGAGGGGGTGG